CTTAAATATGGTTTATGGCAGATTTTCTGCCCTTGAGTGACACTGAACTGTAAATTATCTATATGGGCTCCTTTTGCAGAGTACCCTGAAGTGGATGACATATTAGAAGTGAATGATTGATTCCTTGGGTTGAGCAAACCCAGTTACAGGTAGTTCTCGACTTACAACAGTTCATTTAGTGACTGTTCAAAGTTACAACAGCACTGAAAATAGTGACCATATTTCACACTTACGACCCTTGCAGCATCCCCACAGTCAGTGATCAAAATTCAGGTGCTGGGCAACTGTCCCAGGGTCATGGGAATCACCTTTTGCAACCTTCTACACATAAAGTCAGTGGAGAAGCCAGGTTCACTTCACAATTGTGGTAAGAAAAGTCGTAAAATGAGGCAAAACTCAACAAATGTCTCACTTAGTGACAAATTCTGAACTCAATTGTGGTTGTAAATCAAGGGCTACCTGTACATCAAGACAACAGGGCCTCCTTCCTTCAAAAATGTGTTAATTGTGTTAACAGCAAACTATCGGTTGAGAACAACCTTAGAGCAGGCGATGTGTTTTTCCTGATTTTAGTTTAAGCTAGTTTCCAGCAATGACTGGCTCTTTTGTATACCAGTAGAAACATGCCCAAAGGAAAGAACATCGAAACCATCAAAGGCACGTTTTTAAAAAATTAAATAAATTTGTGGCACTGTTTTCATAAGCATCCATCTAAGTAGAGAACAGATTATGCAGAAATAGCTATACACCTTCTGAACACAAGCTCAGATCTTACTTTCAAGTCAACTTTTTCCTTCCTAAAGATGAAACTTTGTGACCTCTGGCTTTATCTTTAAAAATAAAATAGCTCCCATTTTGCCAATACAGACGAGAGTGTCATCTTGAGATCTGCAATCTAGGCTTGTAATCAGAGACCTCAAGGTAGGTAACGGAAGCCAATTATCGGGGCAAGCACTGAAGGGATTTATTGAGCGGATCCTGCTCCTTTGGAACTGTAAAAGCTTTACAGTTTTTTAACTGTAACATCTGCTAAAGTGTTTATGCGCTGAAGGGGAACCACAGCTTCCGGAAAAGAGGCATGCAGTGAGTAAGCAAAGATGGAGCCGTAAAACTAGACCGCCTTGGGGAATGTGTCTGCCAATTGATTTCCCTTATTATGAAAAGTTTGTGCAGTGCAGTTTAATATTTTGGAGGGGAGCCGGTTTAAAAGTTGCTGACTTCTCTGGTTTTACAGTGAAGCAGCTGCTAAATGGGTTATGGAAAGCACGGGTCTCTCTTCTTTCAGCTTTTTGCCGTATGACATGTGGAGGTCTGTGCGATGAGGAGAGGCGAGCCGCAGAAAACATCCCTTGGAAGGCCACAGATGTCTCCGTCCCGCTCTCGGAGTCCAAAGTCTCCTGCAAGCGCCCGTAGCAGGTCATCATCTCCACTGGACACAGATGGGGCTGTGCCAACCCACCAGCCAGCTGGTCAAAGATATCGAGGAGAGAGAGATCGAGAAAGCGAAACAGGTATTGTAATAACCAGTGAGGGACTATATGAAACGTTGCAGCTTTCCTTCAGGGGCTTTGCTTAGGAGACCTAAACAATGGCTCTTTTGTATTTTTTGGGAAAATATACACTACAGATAGTCCTCAACTTACAACCGTTCATTTAGTGACCAAAGTTGCAACTGCACTGAAAAAAGTGACTTACGACCGTTTTTTACACTTGCGACCGTTGCAGCATCCCCATGGTCACATGATCAAAATTCAGACATTTGGCGACTGAATTCAGAGTTAAGACTGTGCAGTGTCCCAGGGTAATGTGTTCTCCTTTTACGACCTTCAGACAAGCAAAGTCAATGGGGGAGCCAGAGTCATTTAACAACCGTGTTACTAATTTAAGAAATACAGAGATCCACTTAAAGGTGGCCAGAACAGTTGTAAAATGGGACCAAACCCATGTAACAGCTTAGTTTTGCTTAGCAACATAAATTTTGGGCTCAGCAGTGGTCGTAATTCAAGGACTATCTGTGCTTCATGGTTCTATTTTGGCTTATCAATTCATCCGATATGAATATGATTTATCTCCTCAGCATAAGGATTTCAGGCCAGTTCACACCATTTAAAGTGGGTGGAGTGGACGGGTGGTGCTTTTCTCCTGCTGGTCTTTTTCTATTTTGTATTGAACGTTTGATTTTAAATTGTGTGGCACCCAGAGTGTTAACGGAGTTGGCAGTTTATACGTTTAGTACGGTGTTTCTCAATCTCGGCCATTTTAAGATGTGTGGACTTCAACTCCCAGAATTCACCTCTATGGCTTGATAATCTTTAGATTGTTCCTTGTTCTGTTTCTATACACTTAACTACCGTCTTGCTGTTGATTTCAGATGGCGGTCCAGGTATCCGATACATAACAGAGCCTCTTCTTAAGAAGCTCGCCAAGCAAGAGACTATGCCACGCATAACTGCTCTGAATCTTTCCCTTGGTAAAGATGGAGGGAAGAAATTTAAGGTTTGTGTCCGGTGCTTTGTACTTTACGTAACAACCATCAACCCCAGGCAAATAAGAGATTATGGGAATTCTGCAAATAAACCTAAAGAAACACTTTCTAATGCTTTATAGTGCAATTGCAGAGCTGAATAGATGAATCCAACAGCGTATTTTTATTCCTTTCAGTACATAGAAAATCTGGAGAAATGTAGTAAACTGGAAGTCCTAAACCTCAGTCATAATCAGATCGAAAAGATTGAAAAATTGGATAAACTTCTGAAGTTATTGGACCTCAATCTCTCTTTCAATAAAATAAGGTGAGCAAGAAAAAAGAGTGAATAGTTACAAAGCAGACTATGCTTTTCTTGAGGGTTTTTTTTTAAAAAAAAACCCAGATAAGGCTATTCCCATTTTTTAAACTTGCATCAGCCAGAGACTAATGTGTTGCAAAATGAGAAGGACAAATTTTCACCTCTGTTGCTGGTTCCATTCACGCGGGACGCTGGAGCGTGACACTTCCTTAAGCAAACTCCAGATAAACCCTCTCCATTTCAGTTTTCAGTATCTTTGTACTTTTCTTGTAAAGGGATAGAAATTCACGGAGGAACTCTAAGAAGTACATGGAAAAATAATACATAACAATAAACCAATGTATGTTAGCAAACTTCCCGTAAGTTTAGATGCCCTTGTATTCTTGTAACGTCTTAGCTTTTTATTTAAGCTGAGGTGTTGTTCAGTTCTTTGGGTCCTGGCCTGTGGCGTGGGAAAATGTGATCATAACTCTTCCTTTGTAATAAAAACTAACATTCATGTTAAAATCCAAACCTGTTCCTCCACTTAAAATTCTGGATTGTCAACCCATCTCTTTTGTGTGTGTGTGTCCAGTAAAATAGAAGGCATTGAACATTTACACAGTCTTCAGAAGCTGAATCTGGCTGGGAATGAGATCGAACACCTCCCTGTGTGGCTGGGGAAGAAACTCCGGTCCCTTCGCATCCTAAATTTAAGAAAAAATAAAATCTCATCAGTAAGTTGTTTTCCACCCTACAACAATGTTTCTTAATAGAGGACTGGGAGCAATCGTAGCTATCATTGTGATTAAATCTTTCCCATCATATGGCAATAGAGCCACCTCTGAAAAACAGTTCTGCTTCCTTGGAATACTAGCGATACCTTTTACTGACGGTTGATAAAGAGCCATGGTGGCACAGTGGTTAGAATGCAGCACTGCAGGCTAACTCTGTCCATAGACACGAGTTTGATCCTGGTTGACCCATCCTTTCAAAGTTGGTAAAATGAAGATGTAGATTGTTGGGGGCAATGGGTTGACTCTATAAAATGCTTAGAGAGAGCTGTAAAGCACTGTGAAGTGGTATATAAGTAATTCTAATTCTATTATTCCACTCTACTCTGCCATGCTGACCCAGTGGTTAGAATGCAGTATTTCAGGCTAATTTTTCCCACTGCCAGTAGTTCAATCCTGACCAGCTCAAGGTTGATTCAGCGTTCCACCCTCCCCATGTCAGTAAAACAAGGACCCAGATCATTGGTTTGCAGAGTCAGAACATGCTGACTCTGTAAACTGCTTAGAGAGGGCTGTGAAGCAGTATATAAGTCTAAGTGCTGTTGCTATTGCCAAAGGAAGCAGTCATGGGATAACCAATTGCAGAATCATATGACTGCAGAAAGTCACCATAAATATATCGTTTTGCTTTCTGCTGGAAAACAAGGATGGGGTCACATAATTTGGGGTAAACGTTCCCTAAAGCTAAAAAAAGAAAATGTACTCTCCAGCACAAAGAAGCATTTTATGTGGCCTTAAAATGCTCTTCACTGGCTTCTATTTTTGGTTCTCTTGCTGTATATTTGTAAAGCTTATGAAAGTATTATAGTAGAAAAAGCGGGTTTTTCCTTAATTTAGAATTCAGCTCAGTTTGTCTTTGTGTAGCATTCATACAGACTTTTCAGTAGCATCTATCCAATAGATTTTTTTTAAAACTCCAGAAATTAACATGATGCATCTTGATTGGTAAAAATTCTTCACAGTTACATCATTTCTATTCAGTTTTAGCATAAAAGAACCATTTAGCTTATCATTTCATGCTCTGTTGCATTACTTATCTGTAGTACAAAACTAACCCCGACTTCTGCCTCAATTTCTAATTCCTGTGCCTTTTTTATTATTTATTTATTCCCTGTATTTATTTATTTATTATTTAAAGTAGCTCGATACCTGTGCTTCAGTATGAAACTATGTGGTCGGACTTAGTTTTTGGGGAGGAAAATAAGGGAAAAAATTCTGCCTCTCTCTACCAGCATCCATTAGTATTCATCTGGCTAGTGTCCTGTCTGTGTGTGAGAGAATTGAGGGCTGTTTGGAAACTGAAATAGTATTTTCTGTGTGAGCAAGGAGACAGCAAGGAGCCTGGGCGTGGCTTAGCTCAACTGTTCTGTACTAAAGCTGCTTGGTGCTCTGAAACTGAAACTCCTGTGCTTGTGTTTTGCATTTGGAAGAGATTTCTTTTCAGGTGGGGAGGGGGAGTACAACTCCTTAGCATCCGAGCGTGTTAATAATAATAATATAGAAAATATTAATGCTCTGATGGTCATTTTGAAAAATAATCCTTTCTTAGTGAGCACCTAGAAGCCAAGAGGAACATAAGTGTCACATTTCACGTTCATAGGCTGTTTGGTTCTGGAGATTCTGTGATGATGTGTGAGTGGCATTTCGCTTTTATAGAGAGAGATTATTAATTGTCTATTATTTCCTTTCAGCTCCATGAAGTAGCCAAACTGAAGCCTCTGAAAGATTTGACTTCTCTGTTCCTGGCAGACAACCCAGTGGCAAACCTGCCTCACTACCGTCTCTATGCCATCTTCCACCTGAGGTCATTGGAGGATCTTGAGGGCCAACCGGTGACGAATTGCGACAGGGAAGAAGCCCTTGAAAGATTTAATTTAGGTAAATAAGTGCCGGTTTGAACCATCATTACGCCTTCAGATAATTTCTTCTAAAAATACATTCTGTTGCATTAGATGGAACCCCCTTATGTAGAAGCATTTAGGATTGTAACTGAAAATGAACTGTTCCATATTTTTTTAGGCTGTATTCATGCTTGGTTTGTGTCAGCTGGATGGTAACCCACATTTTATGTCCCTATGGTCTATCTGAGATACAAGACCTTGTCCGCAAATAGCCTCACATTTTCCCTCAGCTATATCTTTGGCCCCAGCCCTCCCCTTGTTTTTCTCTCAGTTACAAACAAACGTTCGATTGCCAATCCCAATTTGCCTTATTTATTTGCTTTCCTGCCAAGAGGAAGCTGGACACGACTTTCTTTTTTTTTTTCTGGCTTGCTTGCCTTTTGCAGAAGAGATAGAACGTCTAGAACAAAACCTGGAACAGATGACCAAGGAGATAGAAGGCTTGCAGAGCAAACAGTCTGGTTTGCTGGAGCAGGTCCAGCAACAAGAGGAGCAGAATAAATCCTTAAAACAGAAGCAAGAGCAGCAGAAACAGAGCCATAAGGACCTGGAGACTGAACTGGAAACCAAGAATGAGTTGGTAAAGCCATGGACATGGGTGTTAGGCAACCACGGGTCCTATTTTCGGGTTCTGGGCTGCTCGCAGACTTGATAGGAAGTGACATTCTTTACGTGATCCATTGTGCAATACTTAACTAGGTTTTTATTAACTATGGTTAGTTGATCAGTTCCTGAGCAAACCAGGCTTAGAGTTACTTCCCCACCAGCCCATTTTCAAAATAAGATGATACAGGTAGTCCTCCCCTTACGACCACAATTGAACCCAACTTTTCTGTTGCTAAGTGAGACATTTGTTAGTTGATCTTTGCCCCATTTAATGACCTTCCCTGCCACACTATTTAAGTGAATCCCTGCAGTTGTTAAGTTAGTCACATGGTTGTTTAGTGAATCTGGCTTCCCCCCATTGACTTGGCTTGTCAGAAGATCGCCAAAGGGGATCACGTAACTCTGGGACACACTGCGACCGTCATAAGCACAAGTCAGTTGCCAAGCATCTGAATTTGGATCATGTGGCCCTGGGGATGCTGCAATGGTCATAAGTCTGAAAAATGGTCCTAACGTCCCATTTTTCAGTGCTGTTGTAACTTTGGATGGTCACTAAACAAACTGTTGTAAGTCGAGGGCTGCCTGTAGTAATAATCCCCTTGGATCATCTCTGGACTCCAAAGGAGGCTGCTTAGCAAGAGGAACCCCATTTCTTTTTTTCTTTCGGCTCCTTTTTAAACAAATCCCCCTTTTCCAGCCTCTTCAGGACAATCTGAAAATGGCAGGAGATAGAGCATCAATGTGTAAATTTAAACGCCTCTTGACTTTATCACCCTTAAGAAGCACACAACCCATTCTTTTCTTGCGTGCGTGTTTGTAAAGAAAGCACGTTTTGCGTGCTTTCTTGCCTGTGTGTTTGTAGGACCCATGATATTCAGACATCTTTATTTGGTTTGTCCTAGGCAATAAATGAAAAGCCAAAACAGCCCCGTAGCCTCTCTTCTGCAGCTGACCATATACACCCATCAGACACATCCCAGAAGCTTGCTTGCTTGTATCGCAACTTCTGGGTGCGTTTGTGGCTCAGGACATTCGTTGCACTAAGCCATCGTGTGACCTGTCTGGTTTTGGCTTTGCCTTCTGTGTGAACAAACCCACCATGGGTCTTCTAAACCATAGCTCTACACGACGCGTAAACCAGTTTGTCCCATAATCCACACTCACTATTGTGCTGCGGCCTTGACTTACTGCTTCCTGCTTCCTGAAACTGACGTCGTTTTACCTCCTGCATTTTTCCTTAGCTGAAGCAGAAAACCGTGGAACTCACTCGAGCTTGTCAGAAGCAGTATGAGTTGGAACAAGAATTGGCTTTCTATAAAATCGACGCCAAGTTCGAGCCGTTGGGCTATTATCCAGTGGAGGTAATTCTTGGAAAGGGGGTGATCTGATTTACAGCAGTCTATAATGTTGGCTGACACAGGAGCCCAATTTCTGGTCGCCCCGTTCTTAGTGGGGTGACCAGAGAAGAAGGGCTTAAATGCATTAAGTATGTGCTGAGACGATTGGATTATTTCTCCCTCCGATGACGATGGCACTGATGGTGTTACCTAGTTGGGTAATGAAACGTCTGCAAGAAAACCAGCAATCTCAGAGAGCACCAAGAACTCTATACTTCTTCCTCTGCTCCACTGCAGACTTGTTGAAGGAGTAATGAAAAGAGTCATTCTGGGAACTGGACCATGTTTTCGTGGGACTCTGCACTTCCAAAGTATGCACCCTCAATAAATTGCAGAGTGTCTTTTCATTCCGGGAGAGAACAGGAGAGTAACACTTACTTGTGAGGCCCAGCATAGTTGAAGGCCCTAATATAGACTTCCGTGACCCTGGTTACCTCCTGAGGTGCATGTCTCAAACACCCCCACGGGCTAAAAATGGGCTCCATGGAAGTATCAAAGCTGGGGAAGACCTTTTGAGCACTTTCTTCACTCTTAGATGTTCTTATTTCCATCCCTCACCTGCGCAGACTAGTACGTATGACAGAAACTTTACAAGAGAAATCCCAACTGGTTGGCTGAAGAAGATAAAATTCACAAATGTATAGGAGGACTTGGACAAAGGTTTTAGTTATTTATTTAATAGAATAAGAATTAGAGGGATGCGATGGCTCAGTGGCTAAGACGCTGAGCTTGTCAGTCAGAAAGGTTGACAGTTTGGCGGTTCGAATCCCTAGCGCCGCGTCACGGAGTGAGCTCCCGTTCCTTGTCCCAGCAGCTCCTGCCAACCTAGCAGTTTGAAAGCATGTACAAAAAATGGAAGTAGAAAAATAGGGACCCCTTTGGTGGGAAGGGAACAGCTGTTCCTCTGTGCGCCTTTGAAAGGCGTTTAGTCCTGCCGGCCACACGACCACGGAGATGTCTTCGGACAGTGCTGGCTCTTCTTTGGCTTTGTAATGGAGATGAGCACCGGCCCCTAGAGCCGGAAACGACTAGCACATATGCACGAGGGGAAACTTTACCTTTACCTTAAGAATTAATAGCAACTGCCAAAACGTCTCATGGTTCAGATTGCTGTCCCTTCTCACATCCCTGGACTCTTTGCATTATTTCTCCTGTTTTAGGATGTTGAATTTGACAACGTACCAGGTGAAAGTCCTTACATTGGGAAGGCCAGGTACAAAAGGAACACGTTTGCTATGGAAGGTTACATCCCCAGCAAGGCTCAGAGGGTGCAGATGGGAAGCCTTGAGAAGGAGGAACGTCAAGAAGCCCAGCAGCTTAAACAGAATCTTCTCCAGTCGCTTGATGAACAGCTTGAGGAGAAAGAGAGGAAGATTAAAGAAGGTATCGACAGCTTTCCTTGTCCTACCTTGAACTCATGAGCCGCGAGCTTAGGCCTCTGTGCATTGGCGTGACCTCTCAGGAGCGTTTGATTGATATTGATCTATCAATAAGCAAATCAAGTCCCTTGCGATCATAGAGCGGACCTGAAATAGACAGCTCTTCATCTCAGAGGTTTAGCCAGCGTGATAGATTCCAGTAAGACACACTGAAATAACTTCAGAGGGTCTTCAGATTTAAAGTCAAATTAGGTGGCTCTGTGGATCTTTCTTTTTAAATCCTTCTCTGATCCCTAACCCTGTGCATGAAAGAAAAAAGCCTTTAAAAGCTTTGGCAGCCATTATTATCTAAACATTAAAAATGATTTGCTTCTCTAACAGGAGAGAAATTCTGTTCACTTCGCCGGCTTCTAATCCGTTTCAACTGAATCTTAATTTTTAATTTCTTTCAGCCCAGGAAAAATTGGCCACGCTGCACAATGAAGTCGCCCAAGCAGAGCAACAGGTCTTAAAAGTCACCGAGGAGCTTAAACAAGTCCAGCATGCGGTCTCCCAGAAAAATGTAGGAACAAAGGAGGAGCATGAGGACCAATGTGCTAAACCATGTTTCTGCTTTGCCGTTCATGTGTCGTGTTGAGCCCAATAAACCATACATTAAAAAATGGTTTAATGCGAGGCATAGCCTTAGTTATTAGTCTTTTCGTGCCTAAAAGGTACATTTCAAACATTCCAGTTTAAGAGCCTTAAAAGAGAAGTGAGGACATGATGCTTTTCGGAGCAAAACATTAAAACCTTCCTTCACCTGGAATGGGAACATTTAGCATTTCATCTTCCACTTTCATATTCATAGCAATGTTGTTGAGCATAAAAAGACAAGAGACTGTCCCAGAAACCCACAAAAGCCTCAGTCCTGTCTACTTAGATTTGGAATTAATCTCCATTAAGGCAAGGAGAGTTGACATCTAAGCAGGAACGGGAACCCCAGTTTCTGAATTGAAATAGATTCCAAGTTTTTATACCTAAGCTTCTAGCTTGAGAGTCTCTTGCCTGCTCATTCTTTCCCAGATTTCTTGGGTTATATTCTCTGCATTTTCAAATCCAGGTATCTGAAGCAGAAAAGGACTGTTTTCGCCAGCAACTGAGCAACAAGATACACCTCGTTCATCGGTTACAAGAGGAGGCTCTGGAACTAGAGAGGCAGATGCAGCAAAAACGGCAAGAAATGGCGGAAAAGGAAAAGGAGCTAGAAGGCTTGCAAGGTTTCCTAGATTCTCTGGATCCTCAAGACCCGAGACACGTAAGCGTGTGCATCTTCCCCTTTTAAAATGGGTGGCTTTCTTTGTAACCGGGACCTGTTCTGTCAAAGAGACTCAACTCAGCTTTTGAATGTTTGCCAACTCTGTCAGTCCGACGCTTCTGTTTATTGTCAGATTGGCAACGTCCAGCTGGTCTGCAGGAAGTTCACGTGCAGGGTGACCTACCCAGAGTTCCTTTAGCCAAGGCAACTTTCTTTAAGCCAAATTCTTTTACTTTATGTTGGCAATTGCGCAATCCCTTTAGCATTGATCATTTAATGCAGGCCAGCCCATCTAGCTTTTCAGTCCCACGGGGGTTGACTACTACTTGCCACAAAGCTCACAACAGAAAACCCTGCCAAGATTGCAGCCTTCCGAAACTGACGTCCCCCCACCCCCCCACCCCGCTTGCTTTCGAAACAAAAGGACGCCGTTTCCTTTAGGAGGGGCAGAAGAGCCTGCTGCCACTCCTGAAGCCGATTGGCTGCCGAGGGCAGCTTCCTGTGTTGTGATTTAAAGCAAACAGGGCAGAGCCCAATTCGCCAGACAAGCAGGGATTGGCACACACCGTTCCCGCTGTGCAAGCGTCATCAAGAATCTCGCACGCTCTCTGGAGCTGGCTTCTTCTTTCAAACCACTTCCTCGCCCAAGTGCAACTGTCAAATGCGCAAGAGGAGCAAAGAGATGAGGGTCACTGCGTCCCGGTTAAGCAACGCCTTCCGCTGCTGCTTTTTTCTCCCCCCAATGAATTTCACGTGCTGAGCTGGGAGGGGAAAAGAAGGCGAGACAAAGAAAGCCGTGTAAGTCTCCTCCTCCCCCACCCACCCCCCCAAATCAAAAGACTGGAGGCGGTTGAGCAGCTGCAGAGACCTTGCAGTAGATGGACTGTAGAAAAGGGAAGAAGGACCGTGCCTGATTGTGGGTGTGTCCACAATGGCTGAGAAGCTTGGTGAGTGTGTGATTGTGCTCGCGTGAAACGTGCTTCGACCTCCTTTTGCATTGCTTCAGGGAGCCTGGAAGATCTGGAAATCATTTCATTCTGGGAATCGGAGTCATTACGGTTTTGCATTTTTAAAACAATTGCCGGACGCTACAGTTTTGTAAAGGGACCGTTTGGCTAAGCATTGAGATTCCTCGTGGGGGTTGTTTTTTTTAACCATTGCTGTTGCTTTTCTTTTGGAAGTGGACAGCCCAATCATTTTTTCTTTTCTTTTTTTGTTCCTTTTTTTTTTTTTTGCTATTGATATAGAAATAGCCAAATGCAAGATAGCGACAGAAATTGGTAGCCTGGAACCCCAGTTTGAGGGAATCAAGCATGCAGAATCTACCTACAAACTATTTTCTAAGTCTGTTCAAACGGAGCACTGTAATAAAACCTGCTATCAGGACAGTTTAGGTGGGCTGTGCTGTTAGGAGATGATGTTATATGGGAAAAGCCCATAATTCAGGTTAGAATGGGTTTTGTGATCTTTTTTTAAAAAACAACAACCCGCAGTTACTGCATATTAATACTCCGGTTGGCTGTTGAGGGTGTTTGGTTTTCGTTTCCTTGTGTTGCTTTGAGCCCTCATCGAATCACAGAGCCGGAAGCAGCCTCAGAGGTCTTTTAGTCCAGCCTCCTGCTCAAGGAAGAAACCCTACATCATTTCACACAAGGGGCTGTCCCGTCTCTTCTTGAAGCCTCCACCAGGGAGGGAGCATCCACAACCTCTGAGAGAGGCAACTCCCGTTCCACTGATTAATTGTTCTCACTGCCAAGAAATTTCTCCTTGGTTCGAGGTTGCTTCTCTCCGTTGCTTCTTGTCTTGCCTTTTAGTCCTTTGGAGAATAGATTGGTCCCCTTTTCTCTGGGGCAGCCCCTCAAATATGGAAGACTGCTATCATGTCAGCCCCCTGCTCCTTCTCTTCACTAGACTAGACTTACCCAATTCCTGCAGACTGTTCTTCATATGTTTTAGCCTCCAACCCCCTAATCATCTTCGTTGCTCTTCTCTGCCCTCTTTCCAGAGCCTCATCGCCTGCACTCTTTGCAGAGTCTCAACGTCTGTCCCTTCTGTCCCTAGGCTCATATGAAGGCCCAGAAAGGAAGCAAAGAGCAGCAACTCGACATGATGAGGAGGCATTATAAGCAACTGGAAAGCCGCCTGGATGACGTGCTGTCCAGGATCGCAAATGAAACGGAGGAAATCCGGGATTTGGAGCAACAGCTCACAGATGGTAACCTTCTCCCTTGCAATCATCTCTTCCACCCAAAACCCTTATGGCAAACCGGCCACGTGCGCCTCAGATGTGTGGGGTGCAGGCATTTAAAGCATCAGTTAAGGTTTTGTTGCAAGAAACATCTGGGGTAGCTTGGGAATTGTCATTAATATCTGTTTGCAGGCCAGATTGCAGCCAACGAAGCCCTGAAGAAAGACTTGGAAGAAGTCATCCTAGGGTTACAGGAATACCTCAAGAACGTTAAGAATCAGACGAAGCAAGCTAACGATGAGTGCAAAACGCTGCGGAAAGAGAAGGAAGCTTTGCTGAGAAGACTGGAAGAGGTAGAGGAAGAGAGGAACCAGCTGGAAATAGTTGCCATCGATGCTGAAAACCTGAGAAAAGTGAGTTATGAAGACAACGGTCTTTCTAACCTGACGATTCAAGGCTCTAATTACCCTTACCAGCTTCGGAAAGGTGTTTCGATCAGATCCCTTTCTCTCTCGTGACTGAAAATTGCATTGGTAAAGGGAAATATTTGTAGCTCAGGGTTGAAATGAGGGCTCCTTGGTGCTCTCTAGCCCAGCACCGGTGATGTTACCTAGTTTGGGTAACGAAATGTCTACAAGAAAACAAGCGAGCTCAGGGAGCACCAAGGAAATCCTGCCTGTCAGGTCTACAGTACATTGTGCAATATTGCAGACAGGTTGATCGGAAGACTCCAAAGGTACCTTTGATTTCAGGAAACCGCGAACCTGGAACGGGCCCTCCAGCAGCAACGTGAACTCAACGAGGCTTTGCAGGAAGCCCAAGGAGAGATCAGCGCTTATGAGGCTGAGCTGGAAGCTGAGCTGAAGGCTCGAGACACTGAAGCCAGCCAGCAGAAGGAAGAGCTCAAGAAGTTAAAGCAGGTTATTCAGGTAGGCAAACAGATGCAGAAATAAGGTCCCCTCGCCTTGTTGTCTGAAATCAAAGTTAGTAGCTCTCCAGCTTTAGAATCCTTGCTGGGAAAGGACCCCCCCAAGCAGGGGTTTTTCAAGATGTTCTGGAGAGATTTATTTCAACAAAGGCATTCTCAAATTCCATCCTGATAGAGGTTGAGAAATGGGAATTGCTCAATTTGGGGAACAGGTTGCTTCAGTTTTCTTTGAAAGGTTTGTTTTCTACCTCTTTTTTTTTCTGATTGGGGGTTGCAGGTGGAACAGTCTCAGCTTGGCAAGGAGAGGCAGGCCCTAGAGAATGCCTTGGCCAAAGCACAGTTGTGCGAAGAGAGGGAACAGGAGAATCATCAGCTGCTCTCCCAACTCAAACTGCTTCAGGTAGAATATTTTTTCCCCAATTGCATTCGTAGCTCTGCTTCATTTCCTTCAAAGAATTAATATTAGCCTGATGAATGTTCAGCGAAAACTAGTTGCGTATCTGTCTTTCTTATCACTCAGGTCTGTTAAAAATTAACAAAATCTTTATGCTAGAGAAATTATTATTTGTTGTAATAACAACAAAGCAGTTGAATGACCCCCCCCCCCCCCCCCCCCAAAAAAAAATTTTGTTTGTAAATGTGCAGCACTGTTAATGTTCTGGTGAGACGTCTGTAGGTTTTATTTTACGACCACGATGAAAATAAATAAATTCCAACTTTGTGATGGTGCACGGTGATCTTTCAAATGTGTGTATGTCTCTCTCTGTATCTCACAGAAAGACAACCACCACTTGAGGCAGCAGCTAAAAGACACACAGGAGCAACTGAATCACACAACCAATAGCTTAATTCACCCCGAGGAAGTCTCAGCTCGTGTGAATGAACTCAAACAAAAGTTGCGGACTGGGACAGAAATCAGGTGCGATGAAATCAGAGGAGTCCTAAGTCCATGGGTGTCAGACCTGCCCCAGTCGGATCCCTTAGGGAAGGAAAACCCTCGACTCCATTTGGTTGAAGTGAAAGATACTTTTACTAAGAGATGCTTGTTGCAGTAAAGTCAGGAGGAATCTGATTTTCCCATGCATCAGTACAAAATTATTTCCTTCAGTCCCTTCCCTTCAGTCCAAATCCAGCCAATGCGATGCTGTTGGGATGTTTTGGGAACACTGAGGTATCTGGGCTGGTAATTTTCCACACTTGGGGCAAACGGCCTTGAAGATGCCTTGACACAACCGGTTCCATGTTGATCTGTTTTTCTTCAGCTGTCATCCCCCTTCCCCAATTCCCACACAACAGTGCACCCCAATGTATACTTTTTTATCCCCCTTTCCCCCCCTCCCCCCCCCCCCCCCCCGGTCCTTTGATGGCAGGACGCCAGTGAGGCGCCAAGCTGAAGATGGTGGACCTGACAATGGGAATGGAAGATACATCTGGAAAGGTTTGGGTAATTCTAGTTCTAGGCAGCCCAGTGAAGCTCCTCAGGGCGCTTGCACCCAAGGAGAGGCATTTTCCTTTTGAACATTTCTTTGCAAAATCCATGAAGAGTTTTTCCTGGGGAATCACGTCTCCGCCAAACTGTGGCAGGTTCTCCTCTTTGCCTTCCACTTCTTCTTTATCCTGACTTTCCCCGATAGGACATTATTTATTTATTTTAGTTCATTGTTTAAATCTCCATATTATTATTTTATTATTATTTTATTATTATTTTATTATTATTATTATTATTTATTATTTTGCTTCTTCTACAACAGGTGCCATAACTCGAAGGACATATTGGGGAAGAGCCTTGCGGAGCTGCAGAAACAGTTTGCCGAGATCTTAGCTCGTTCCCAGCAAGAAAACGAATCGGGCCAGGCCAGGGAGAGATTGCTCCAGAAAGAGATGGCTACTCAGCGGGCTGAGCTGGAAGAAGCCCAAGAAAAGTATAAACTGGCCTGCAACAGAGCTGCAGAAGCCAAAGTAAGAAAAAAAGCGGGGGGGAAATTATAACCAGAGGGAGGAAAGGTTACTCAGCATTTGGGCAGAAATCTTTTTATAAAGTAATATGTTGTTTTCATGGGACACTTTTTCTCAATCCTGCAACTAATACTATGTAGAGATCTTTGGCTTGATCCTGAATCCTTACCTGCGTCTAGTTAAACAGAATGAGATGCTTTCCTGTTTCCTTGCTCTTGAACTGCGATTATGAAGACTTTAAGGCTTTAAGGGTCCCCAACTCCCCATCTTGAGACCCTAAGAGTATTGCTGAAGATCAAAGCTGCTCTCTAAAAACAGCTGTTGAGTTATAATAAAAAATGACAAATAAGATTTTCAGCCTGTTCCTTCCCACTTCTTCTCGTTCCCACCTTTTACACTAAAAAAAATCCAGACCTTTTTTTTACACCAGTGGGAAGGCCTGATGTTGACAAGATACCTTGTTGGTATCATTCCCTGACTTTCTTTTGTTTCTTGTATTTATCTAGATTAAATCCGAGAGGAGGCAGAACGAGGCTCGTGTTCAGCAGCTGGAGGGTGAAATCCAACATCTCGTTGAAAAGCTGAAGAGCATGGAAGAAATTCAGGGCCTCACCGACCAGCAGCTTCAAGAAGCTGATGAGGAGAAAGATCAAATCCTTGCTGAGTTGGAAGACTTGGAGAATAAGGTGGGTGTCTCCTCTTGAAGGTCTACAAAAATATCTAGCGATTGGGTTTATTTTTTAGTGTGGATGCATTCAGTTGGAAGGATAGGTTAGAATAGAGTATAGCTGGAAGGGACCTTGGAGGTCTTCTAGTCCAACCTCCTGCTCAGGCAGGAGACCCTATATTACTTCAGACAATGGCTGTCCAGTCTCTTCTTGAAAGCCTCCAGTGTTGGAGTATTCACAACTTCTGGAGGCAAGTTATTCCACTGATTGATTGATCTCACTGTCAGGAAATTCCTCCTTAAGTTTTAGGTTGCTTCTCTCCTAGATTAGTTTCCATCCATTGCTTCTTGTCCTCCGTTCAGGGGCTTTGGAGAATAGCTTGACCCCTTCCTCTTCTTTGGGGCAGCCCCTCAAATACTGGAAGACTGCTACCACGTCACCCCTAGTCCTTCTTTTCCCTAGACTAGCCGTACCCCAATTCCTGCAACCAATCTTCCTATGTTTTTGCCTCCAGGCCCTTAATCATGTTAGTTGCTTTTTTTCCCCCTGCAATTCCCCCCTCCCCCAAGGTGAATCCTGGTTATTTCATTGTAGCTTTCAGCGCTTTCTTTTGCTTTGCTCAAATCTGTTGAATGCACTTTTGTGGGTCTTTCCAGAAAAAGGAGGAAGACGCGAGGGCACAGCTGCAGTTCCACAGCCTCAGCAAGGAGCTGAAGGCGTTAAAAGAAGCCATTTCCGCTTCCGATAAACAGGCCACAGCCCAGCTCTGTGCAGCCAAAGACCAGCTCCAGTCGCTGCATGGGACCGTATGCAAAATTAATCGGGAACGTTCTGAGGTATGGCGCTGCTGCTGCTGCTGCTGCAGAGACTCCCCGCTCAAAACTGTGACAGCCAAATCCTCATGGCTTCCAGAAAGGAAGCCTGTGTTTGAGACCTGTAGCTAAGCAAACTTTATATCATTACGTTTTATCATTTATCATTATATGTAAACTTTTATTTATATTAATGTTGGTGGATCCAGCAAGAGGTACAGAGAGATTCCAACGAACGGTAGCATTGAACACTTGAGAGAGCATTGAGAGTCTCTGCAGCTGCTCTCTTGTAAATTAGTGAAAGGCACGATCCCTTCTGTCCAACGGTGACTTGGCATTTCTTCCCCCTTTTTCCTTTTTCCTCCCAACTGAAGGAGCTTCAGGAGGCAGAAAAGTTCTGCCTGCAGGCCACGCAAGCGGCTAAGGATCTGGCCAGAGCAGAGACGGAAATAGGCCTCTTGCAGAAGCTTCTCAGAGAAAAGGAGGCGCAGGTAAGTTCTGTTTACAAACATGGTCCCCTTTCCACAAGGGAGCCCTGGAGGCAAACTCTGCCTACAGTCTGAAATTCGATCCTGACCAGCTCCAGGTTGACTCGTCCTTCCGTCCTTCCAAGGTCGGTAAAAGGAGGACCCAGATTGTTGGGGGCAAGAGGCTGACTCTGTAAACCACTCAGAGGGGGCTGTGAAGCACTATGGGATGGTATACTTTACAACCACAATTTCAACTTTACGACCACAATTGAGCCCAAAATTTCTGTTGCTAACCGAAACTTTCATTGAGTGAGTTTTGCCCTATTTTACGACCTTGCTTGCCACAGTTGTTAAGTGAATGAGAGTTTTCATCAGAAAGAGCCGTGGGGGATTCAGGAAGGATCCCACGTCCCCATTGGGCTGGGCCCACCTTGCCCCCTCTGCCCAGGGAGAGGACTCAAAGGATCGTCTCTGACGCTGGTCCTTCTCGGTTTTACACACGGGATTCAAATCCATCCACCAGTGTTTGACCGCATGTCAGCATGGGTTAAAGCTGTGGACGTGAAGGGCTTGATTTGGGGCCCCCTCAAAAGTTCTCCGCTCAAAATAAAATGCTTTTCCACATTGCAGCTGGAATCGGAAAAAGACGCCGCCGAGACGGCAGCTTGGCACTTCCAAAAGGACGAGTGGGAGAAGTTGGATGGGCTTCTGAAATGGCAGAAAGCAGAAACGGACCGACTCCGCCGAGCCTTAGATCAGGCCAAGAACGGTTGGTTTCTTTTCTCTGGCTTTTCGGCAAACGTGGACGGAGTTGCACTCTTTCCGCGAAAGAAGCTGCGCCGACGGAATAACGAAGGCGCTTAAAACAGACAACCGACTTGCTTAAAACGCACTGACTTTTTAAACCCCCTTGCAGGCAACAGGGCTGGAATGGAAGGCGTCCTGGGGGAAATCGAAGGACTCCGGCGTACGATCTCTCAGCAGAATGATACCATCGCTCGCTTCGCGGCTCCACTCCCGCAGGGCCCACAGCTGGTTTTTGTGCCGTCCTCATCCCAGGTATGAAAACCGTCACACGGTTTGCCTTGAAAGGAGCTTTAAGTCAAATCCAGTGGGGTTGCTGACAAGGCTGCCCCT